GTACATTCATATATATTAATTCATTCATTTTCAAAACAAATAAATTATGAATATCTTGAGTTATTTAATTTGTGATATATTCGAGAATTTATGATATTCATTTTATTGATACTAATTTATGTTATGCATTGCTCATCAATTTAATTCAGATTGTAGCTTGCTTTAATTTTGTAGCAAGTTCAAAAATTGTGTCAAGTCATAATTCAAGATTTTACTATTTTTAAAAATTTTATAAGATAATATAAATAAATAATAATTAAAAAATTGAAGAATAAAGAAATGTCACTTTTAATAACATAATTAGTATTGTAAAACATTTTTTTTATTTTACCCAAAATTTTATTTTCATAACTTCAAATTTTTTTAGTTTCTATATCATATTTTAAACAGATAAAAATCACCTCAATTTCCTAGCTAGTAATCAATGAATTTTATTCATTTAAAAAACATTGAAAAATTTTGTGCGATATTATGAGTGTATAGAGTATTTTATAAGTTTAATAAAATTTTATCAAATTAGATTTTTTTTTGAGTATGAAAGATATATGAATTATTAATATAATAAGAAATTATTATTACTTATACCATGATTATGAATTTTTTAGAAATAAATTTTTGATTTTCTTTATGAAAAAAAATCTGTTCTATGATTACTTTCTTCAATTCCTTTGAGAAAAAATAATGTTAACGAAATTTTTGATTTTATCTTTATTTGACTATATAGCAGAAAATTTCAAGATTTCAAAATAAACTGTGAATATTTTTTCTTTTTTTAAAAAACTATAACTTACATTATTGAGTAAAAAAAAATTTAAATTTTATAAGCTGAAATAATGTTATTTTTTAGGCGCCTTAATTTTAGATTATTTTTGTTGGTTTCCAAATTATTATTAAATTATAAATTGAAAGTTAATTTAGTTCTTTGATATTCCGATTAGTTTAACCCTGGTTGATTTAGCTTTATGGTCTGTCACTATGTATAAGAGCTGGTTGTAGCTGTATATGACACAAACTAAGATTTTAAACAATTTAAGTCTTTGTGTTTTCATGAATATAGCATGAAATGATGAAACACCAACTTTCTTGTGAGCTCTTTTCGTGATATGCCTAATGGGTATGTCTGTCAGCTGAGTTAAACTTGCAAAAAAATTCTAAACAATTGATATCAAAGGACGTGAAAAAATTAAAGTCAACAATCAACAAGTCGGAAGTATACTCATCAATGCTCAAGAAAGCATAGTCAAACTTGTAGAAGAGTGCAGTGTAGTCGTACCGTGGGCAAGCAAACAAATGACGGAATAAGACCTGCTGTTTTAGAAGATAATTCTTGACCGACATCATATTTGAAATGAAAAAAATGTGTCGAGTAACTCGTCGAGAAGGAAGCTTTGGGCGAGGTGGCAGCGATATAAAATTGATTATTCCGATTCTTAGTATGTAAAAGACGCTTTTTGAAATTATCAACTCCGTAGACAAAGTGGAAATATACTTTAAAAAAATATTTATTTGTTTTTTTACCACAATCTAGGTTTTTCAGACCTAAGTGCCGATCTGTATGAATGCAACGTAAATATTAGCTGTGTCGGAGCATTGCATGATCTGTAGTAGGTTCTACAAGGAATGTTGGATAGATAAAACGAACAATTTTTTTCATAGTTGCCAGAACATTATTACGCTAGATGCATGTAGTTTTTAGAACTTGCATGCAAAAAAATTGCTCTGAGAGATTTTTTTAAATCATTAGCAAAGGCATATAAAAGCTTGAAAGAGTTCTAAGACGTCAACATTTCTAAGTCCCATGAAAATTTGCAGACAATATCATACCTGATCACTAACAGCTTAACATGAATCATTATGGACAACTTGGAACTTTGCTTAGGAATAAGTCAATAAGGTAGTTGTGTAAATGAACAGAATACGATTCTATGACACAATAAGTCAACGATATCCAATCTTTGAAACTTTTAGTCGAGTCTCTAACGTGATATTATCGAGTTTATCGAGATTTGATGAGTATCGATAATCTCATCAAACACTTCACATCACTCGTGGAAACTCAATTCAGTTGATCATGATGATCTGCATGGTTATAATCACTTTATATCATCTACATGTGACACAAAGTTCTAGAAGAAGACTTGAACATTCTATTAATGATTCTAAAATACATCTAAAATCTTTCAAATCAAATTGTTTTGAATTGCTATGGCCACATTATTTGTCATCACATGAATGACAACTGAAGCCTCTTCCATATTTTCAGCATATTCTTCTATTGCGGTTTTTTTGTCATCGCATGCACTGTTGCCTTCCTTTGGAGGCAATAGCGCATATAGAGACCTTCTTCCAAAGTTTGTATACAACAGAAGATTATCTCTCTGCGGACTTTCTTGGCTTCGAGGTGCAAGCTATCACTCAAGCATAATCGTTTTTGTCCATCTTTGCAAGAGCGACAAGAACATAGCTTTTCAAGAAGTCTTGACACGAGTGGATGTTTTCTCCATCTTCAAACGACCAACCGTATTATCATTGGCTGAAGTTTGAACTCCTTGTTCTTGTTGTCTGTTATTAATCATGTGAGATGCAATAAAGATTGAGATACCAACTTGAGGTTTAGTAGAAGATGCATCATGGGATTATGATGTTGAAGTTAATGTTGCTTGGATTGCAAGTAGTGCAATCTCAACGATTTTGATTTCAACTGTTTCTTCTTGTTATTATTCTCGATTTCTTTTTGTCTTTTTGATTTTCTTTTTGTCCTGCTTATAATAGGCAATAATTGTCTAAATTAGCTTAATATATGCATCGTTTCAAAATTAATTTAGGCAGTAGGCAGGTTTAATCGAGATTGAAGGTCAATAAACAAACATTTCAAATTTTATTTGTGCAACAAAATGTGTATTACCCATCAATTGATTGATCTGTAATTATGATTCGACGTCGATCCTCGATTATCACAATCCGCAAAGTGCCTCGATTTGCATATACTATTTCACCTTCAACACACTTTTAAGTTCAAAGTCTAAAAGACTCTTGCAGTGATCACCTTTCTCCCATTTCTCCCATCCCAGACAAGTCAGACTTCACTGAACTCTTGCCGGGAAATATAGTTGCGATGGCAGTGCAAAACTTGACCAAGTTTGGAAACCGAGCACTAAGTAAGATCCAAGCATTGTCAAAGTATTTCTTTTGGTTATAGCCATTAATCCTCTCCTACAACCCAGTTTCATTGCAGTAAGCTCAAAGAAGAGCTTTATGCTCGTCAGCAATCTCGTTTATTTGTGTCGCCGAGTATCAATACTTCAGGCGAAAGCTCTGTCTATGAATCTTGCGAATGAAGTCGGCAACGGAAGCGCGAACAAGCTCTTACGGTTTCGATTATAAGCAGACTTGCACATATAAAAAAATGCCCATGAATATAAATTAGGAAGAAATGAAGTTGATTATAGAGCAAAAGATGAAAAAAAGGTCGCTAAGGTGGCGACCAACTACTGCTAATGTCTTTTGCTTCAATAAACAAAGCTTATGAGTAGAGCATTTTGATGATTTACAGAAGAAAAGTATTGTAAAAATGGTGAGAAAGAAGTCAGGTTGGGAAAATCTAGTAGCAGTGAGTTGAATCCCAGCTCAAGTAGTCTATATATGACAAGAGAAGTCATGAAGTTGTTGCTTCAATGGAGGAAGCTCTGGTGAGAGAGAAGCAACAGAAAGAATATCATAAAGCCTAGACAAGAGAAAGGAAGTCTAATTTGAAGAAAGTAGCGAGGCTACTAGAGAGACCGCTCAAACCTCCACACCGCAAGATACTTACCAGTAGAAGAAGTAAGCAAAGAAAGGACTAGGCTATTTGCTTGCTTGTGAGATTGAGACCATTATAGAAAGGTAAATAAAATTAATAAATATCTTATTTAACTTCTAACAAATTTTTTTCACTCATGCCTTGAAGTTATGAAAATTTCTTAATATACATAATGTTTATTTAAAAAAATAAACATTTTGCACAATTTAGTATTTAAGCTAAAACAGAATGAAATAAATTTGTAGCCAAACTGATAGACTTCAATTATCCAACTAAATTGAGTTTTTTCTTATATTTTTTTCGTTACATATTTAACTTTCATAAAAATGAAACTTTTAATCTATAAATTATAAACATTTTACTTACGTTTTTTTTCAAAGTCTGAACTCACATCAGCGAAATGATGATTTAGATTTGGTGTTGGGACAAAACCAGACTGTCATGTTACCTTGAAATATCCTAGAATCTACTGCATATTATTTAATCTTTGTAGTTTGAGAAGATAATTTGAAATATTTATTATAATTCTCTCCATAGGCTGATTAAAATCAGATCCGATGCAGTTCATAGAAAAGATGAGGATTTTCATTACGTGTTTGTAGAAAAGTTTCGATATCAAACCTTTTTCCCCTACATTCAAATGATCAGCTAAAGCACACCACTCACAATCTTTTAGGGTTTTCAAATCTTGTAAATATCTCCTCACATCTATATTTTTAGTTAACCATAGCTTCTAATCTTCATTATCCGAATTCCTCCTTACCATATAACATTTTGGGACTACAATTTAGATTGCAAGACTTTCTATCTATCAAAACCTACCTCAACATATACTTGAGCCGTTCGGGCCACCCTCTTATGCTCCAACCAAATCTAATGTTTTATAATAAATTATATACCATAAAAAACATGAAACAAAAACAAATTGAAACAAAAATGAAACATGAAACAGGATCAACAATTTTATGAACAAATCGTTTTTCAGTACATTTCATGTCTTAAAAGCTGTAATTTGACTCTTGAATTTCAACACCACTAACATCAGAAAGGAAATGCTTCGCCGCGGCAGCACGGGGGAATTGAAGGATTAGTGTTTGATACGCAGTAATAGGCGGAACACCAGAAAACTGGAGCCAGTAACACTGATCACATTGTATCTTCGTCAGCAAATCGTCGAGAATATCTCGAAAGAGAAAGAGGACAGCCCGTTGATTCACAGGCATCTTCACGTGGTGATTTGACGGACCCCACCGGCAGAAGAAAATAATCGTCGCTGTTCCGTCGAGCGCGTGCCGGAAAGCGTCACGTCCCCGAGGAAGATCGTTCGTTGGGCATCGGACTTTCGGGTCTGCGGTGACACGTTTCCGCATCTGTGCTCCCTCCCCTCCCGTGCATTCGTTGTCCGAGGACGTGGAAGCTATGGCTGGCTAGTGTCAGTGAGTACGTACCTTGGCTTGTACTTTCGCGCTTGAGCGATTAGGGTATCATTCTTCGAAGAAGTCTCGTGTGAAGCTCATTTGAATCGACGAATTGGACTGACCCCGACGTAAAGATGAATGTGAATCTTCCGAATTTGTCGAGAAACGATTTGCGTGGTCGTACTGCCAGAGGATTGTGCAAGTGGAATGTGAGTGATTTTCCTTCGGTAACTTTTACTCTCTCGGATTTTGGATTTTCATTACGTTTTCGAGGCAGGTGCAACGTGTAGCAGAGTGATCATCGAAGCTTGCTGCAAACCTGTGGTCAGATTTGGAGATTGAATTGTGAATTCCACGAGGAAGAGAATTTTGTGTTTCCTCGCTGTTATTGACGTGTTAGTTGTGGTCAAATTTCGAAATTTCAGAATGAATTCTCCGTTGTCGAGAGGGAGGAACGCGTTACCAGCTTGAGGTATGGATTTCATCTCTTGAAACGGTGTGAATTCAATCGCTCTCATTTGTTAATTATTTTGTCAGAAATAAGTACATTTTGAAGTAATCAAGTCTTGTGACGCCAACGATGATTCGTGTGTTGTGAATGTAATTACAGAATTCGTGGAGCTGAGAAAAAGACTCAATTATCTCTCCAGCATAAGCTAGGACATCATGACCTCCTTAGACGTAAGTATCTCGAGCTTGATTTCGAGAAATGCTTCACTGTGCAAAAATGTTGACATGAAGGAGCTTTAATGAGGTTTGAGAGTTTCGGTCTACACCTGATTGTTGAGTTTTTCCTCTGTCATCATGACCTGTATTTTGGAGTCTCTTAATATTGATTGAACATTCTCTGTCTGATTTGGTGACCTATTTATATCCTTGTTTCTGTACTTTGGTTGAAAAGCAGTCGATAGGGGCCACATTCTAGGTCTTGGGCCTCAAATTTGTGTAGCCGACGAGTTTCGAAAATCTGCTGTCACATGTCACGCAAAGGTATATATGCTTTTCAACCCTGGAGTTCGTAAATAAATTCCCCCAATTGTGCGTTGATATGTGGAGGTGCAAAGTTTGTTTTGCTGAATTCGGGTTCCATTCAACTATTGTTATATGAAATTTGTAAAAAGTGTGTTTTTGAGACATGTCGTGACAATCTAATGTGTCCTGTGCAGGAGGTAAAGTGTTCAACTGAGGGTCAGGGCCAGACTCAAACTATCAAGAATGAGACCATTTCAACAAACAAAGCTCCACTTCAGTGTAAGTTAACTTCTGAAACTAGTTTCCTGCTTTCGAAAGCGTGGTCTTGTCAGTACACCATTGGTTGCTTCTCCAGGACTGAATATATTTAAGAATAATGTCACGACCAGGCGAGCACCTTGTTTGTTTTTCTAAGAAACCAGATTTGTGCTGTTCTTCCTCTTGAGAGTGTTGATACTTAAACTCAGTGACTAGCCTAACAAGTAAACTAGTTGCATTTTGCATGCAACTTTAAAATGTGGATTTTTCCTTTTGAATTCATAGCGGGGTGTCTTGCATAGAGCTAATGTCAATTTTCCATTGTCATATCCCGTCACTAATAGGTGAAAGCGCTTGCTTGTAGCACGTCGGTAGACCATCTTCGTTCACTCTTCGGGCTACTGACACATTCCCTCCCGAGTTTTGAGTCCTTACTTGTGGCGCTATTCATCCCGAGAGCCGTTCTTTCTTTGCGACCTGAACCTTTGTATGTGAAAGTAGAATTCGACCTATGCAAAGCCACCCATCACTGTTAATATACTGGGCTAGGGATGTTCTTTGCCATGTTATTGGGACTTTCAGGTCTTGACTTTCAGATATGTGCCTAGCAGCAAAGGAGATGAGCCCCAAGCTAGACGATGGAGGAACTGGGTTACCACCAAGAGATGGAGATGGCGGAGGCGGCGGCGGCGGAGGAGGAGGCGGTTGGGGAGGAGGAGGCTTCGTTTTCTGGGCTCTCCTCTTACTTATTGGATTTCTTAGAGACCGTGAACTTGATAAGCCCTACACTGGTCTAAAGCCCAAGAAAAAGCAAAGGAGGAGGCAATTAACTTGAATGTCACTTGTTCCTCTTGTACCCCGTCTCATTTGTGGTAACAGGTGAACACTGCAATAGGACGAAACAATTTTTGCCTATATAATCTCGTGAGTCAGGATTAGCCACAGGGCGTGAAGCTTTGGAAATTGCAACACAGGAAAGCTTTATATTCTTCTTCATCGGCTGCGAATATGTACGAGGTCGATGTAGTTTTAGAACAGAAGTATATGTATTACATATTTCGTCAAATCTCAGGTTAAAAAATATAGCTAAAGTAGTCTGTATCTGTGTGTCAAGAGTACGTGTAAACATGTTCTGCAGAAATTTACATCACAAGTAGAAATGAGAACTGCTGGAACTTCAGGCTTCATTATTCTACCTTAGACATTATCAGATGAATCCGCAGGATAAGTTGTTGTATTTGGAGCCCGAAATTCAGCTGTGTGCAAAATTGCTTATAACAATGAAAATGGATCTACCCTTGACGTGTCTTAATGCCATGGTTGGGAACGTCTGGTCCTGTTTCTTTCAGAGACACATGCTGGAGAGAGCAAAGTAATTCTTGCCTCGAATATATCGGACTTTTATAAGTTCAAACTGTTATGCATTCACTGCTCTTATCACTTCTCCGCAGTACTTAAAAATGGGATGCTGGACTTGTGTGTAAGATTACACAGAACACGTGTAACCTGTAGAACAAGGAAAGCCTAGCGAAATTCCATGCATGAAAATATGAAATGAAATATTGCATTGCATGAATATGAAATGAAATATTGCATTGCATGAATACATAAACTTCGCATGGCACCCATGTTATGGTAAATCAAGCGCCTCCTTATAATTTGCTCATTACTCATTAGTTGTGAATGGATATTTTAACTGGAAATTTTCCCGCGTCTTAGCACCTTTACATCTTTACGTAAAGAATTTGTTATTCTTTCTCGCGAAAGTTCTAATTTGCTCATTACTCATTAGTTCTGAATGGATATTTCTTTAACTGGAATTTTTACAGCGTATTAGCACCTTTACGAAAAGAATTTGTTATTATTTTTTCTCGCGAATTTCTAATTGGCTCATTACTCATTAGTTGTGAATGGATATTTGTTTACCTGGAAATTTTCGACCATCTTAGCACCTTTACGGAAAGATTTTGTTTTTCTTTTCTCTCCCGAAAGTTGCTGTACTGTATTCTTTGTTTCAAAGCCATATTGAGCTTGTCGTCGGTGTGCAACTTTCTTAGATGAACTCCTCATTGTCGGAAAGTGGATTCTGCAGAAGTGCTTAAACTCCAAAACTTGTTCAAGTCAAGGACATTCCTCAACATTCAGTCCCTGCATCTACTGAGTTGAATATTTCGTATGATCATTCTAGGAAAGTTACTATTTTCGAGTAAGTTAGTCAAATTGATAATTGAAGAGTACTCGATGAAAGGTCATGATTTAAAGTCATGACAGGTGAGAAACTACGACGATAGGAACAGAAACGAAGGCTAGTTAAGTTGTTTTGATCTCTCCAGAAGATCAAGTCTCGTTTGTTCTGAACGTATATACTCTGAAACATAATTGGGGACGATCACAAAATTAATGTTTCAAAAATCTTATGTAGTCTACTTAATGACGCCAGTAAAGCAGATTTTGTCCCAAATGTACACGTTGGTGTAGAATTATGAACCTTTCATCTTCGAAGGATGACTGCTGTATAAATCTGTATTAGGCCTTCTGTAAATCTGTGCTTGTAAAGAAAGTATAGTTGCCGTCTAAATGGGAACAGCAACGAAGTGTGGTTCTCTATTTTTCTTTCTTCACGCACGAACAGTAACGTATGAAATACCAGTTGCCTCCACTGATCATGTGCAAATTCGTCATCTAACGAATTTTTTTGCTAACTCCTCCCAGATTGAGTACACCGAGAGTTTCAATCGAGAAACAACTGCTTCTTGAGAGCAGGGAAATTCTTTTCACCTCCCTCAAAGTAGCGACGTTCGATCTTTGAACGACTTAAAGCAGTTCAGACAAAAGTCCTGCGAAGTCGCTGAAGATTATGTCTCTCTTCCTTGTTGCAATCTGGAATCTCTAGCGTTCTTCAGCAAAGACATAGACTATGAAGCCCGTTGGATTTGCTGTTGGCAGACCAGTCGTGAGAAGATTTAAGCTTTTTTAAGCGCTTTAGTCATATTCATGGACTTCAAATGTAAAAATAATATGTTGTTTCACAGAATCACACTGCAATGTGGTCCACTGTTATGAGCGGCGTCTGTTAAGTGCAGCATATTAGAGAAAGTCCACAGATGGAGAATAGTGCTATATACTTTTAAGTTTATGAATGAATCTAATATTGGTCTGGAATGATTCAGGCTGAGAAATTTGCTTTCTGAGATCCTTGTGGATGCTGATTGAGCTTTGACCCATCATGAATTGTCAGAAACTGCGTGGCACGGAGCCGACGTCAGCTCTCAAACAGACAGTGACATCAGCGACATCGGTGGCATGTACGTGGAGTTCCAACAGTTCTGTTCCACAACAAGGATGGAAGTAAGTAACAACTGCGAGAACATGAATGTTTCGTGTGTCAGAGGAAAGCCCTTCTGAACACCAAGTCAATTGACTTGACCTTCCTTGACAATTTGTGTGGCGATTTCATTGAGATCCCCAACAAAATCTTAAACTTCATCTACGACTTTGCCAGTAGAGCATTCGAGTGAGGGCCCCAAGCAAATAGCTCCAGCTGAGGAAGTTCTAGAATGTTGTAAAACATGTATTTCGTCGCCGACTATAGTAACGAGTATCCTTATGATGAGTGAGAGTTACTTTAGGCTCTTGCTTGACAGGGTTGCAGCCATGGTGTAATTATATGATCTGCCATATCATTGCAGAAATCGACTAGGTGGAATCAGGATGATATGTCCACGTCCTCACATTTGCATGGACATTCAGTTCCGTTCACTACTCAGACAGAAAGCTATTGTAGACGACGTGATTCCATCAAGTAACTTCATGATATATATCTAGATCGACACTTCAAATGTTTGCAAAGTGCTCCCGAAGAACTTTGCAGATTCCACAGGCCAAGGGAAACGACAATGGCAAATCGCCGTAGACCGGTGTCCACGAAGTGTACACTTGCCAGCTAGTATGGACCAGGAAATGACCTCGCAATGTACGTATGTGTCAGACTGCCCCCCGAGCCATCGACCTTTCTTGTTTCTTTCAGATTTTCCAACCTCTTGTCAGACTCGGAACACACGTGATTTCGCATCCAGAGAGATGACAGCTGCTTTTGGAAGAGCAGGATTCCTGTCTTTTATCACTCAAAAAGTAGCAAGAACCCCGAAACGACTCGACCTTACTCAAGAGAGACATACGACACGTCGGGATGGTGTCATCACCCAGGTTTGATTCCTTCTTGCAGTCTGGGTTTATGTTAAGAAAAGATTCAGGATATCACGTCTGCCACAACTGATGGTGTCAGGCCTGGCGTGCAAAGGTTCAAGCCTTTGCTGGACATGCTGTGTTGTTTCATAATAACGAACTTCCAAATTCATATTATCCACTGAAAACTATCTGCTCAGTATAGTTTGACATATTTCTACCTACCGCTGGAAAATTTTGCCTACATAAATATGCATATCTATCTACCTCAAGATATATGTGGAACCTGATATCTGTCGTTTGCAATAAGCCCCCAAGATGGTCTATCCAACCTACATTGCACACTATATATAGAAATTTTTTTCCCATCAATTTGACAATCACGGCGAAATCTTACATAAATTATACAGCTTAAGTTTGTGGGAAAAAGGATCAACTGCTTCAAAGTTATTGACCAAGAAAGATAAAGAGAAATTCACTCGAGACATAAAGTTTTGAAAGCAGCAATCCTAATAATGAAGAGTGGTTAGTCCCGATAACATACCATGAAAAACATATCATAGTGGTAATGCAGAGTAAACCTTGCATAGTAATGCATAGATTATCATAATACATAGCTTTTTATTAATGAGATTATATATGAAAATTTGAGTAAGTGTAATCTAATATAATAATTCTTGTATGGATTATACATGTAAGACCTCTTTCTAGTACAATATGTACATAAGAAACAATGGTAGATTAGAAACAGCACAGATTTAAAAACTTTAAGGATGCAAAAATATTTTATTAGGAAAAAATCTATCGTTAAAATTTTTTTATTTGATAACTTTAGATATAATTAGAAGAAATTTTATCTCAAATTTTATCAAATACAATATACCGCTCTTGTTAAGGCGGTGTTATCAATGAAATACATGATTGTCATGAATATCAAAACGTTGTGTTCATGAGGTGAAGTAATAATGCAAAGTAGGATAATGAATAAATTCCAGATATTTTAAAAATATCATACTTACTATTTCTGCAACTAAATTCAACTACGTGCAATACATCCTTAAATGTTGTGTTAATTTTTCTCATGTAAAACTTACACAACATTTAAGTATGTATTGCATGTAGTTTATTTCATATCTCGTTGGAATAGCGTGAAAGTATAAGTCATATGTTGATGTAAACGAATCGACGGAAGATATATAATTATGTCAAAGTATTAATACTGAATAATTTGACTACAAGAATTTCAATTTTGAAATCAAGTAATGAAAGTTAGTCATTCTAATTTACAACAAAATAAATTAAGGAGCAATGCACGTGGGTGATTCAATAGATATATAAACCGTGTCAATTATTGATAATATCAAATGATATCATAACTGATGGTACCATATATTGTCAATGTAGATTAAATGACTGACTAGGTTAGATGATGATATATAGTTTTTAGTTGAACATTAATAAAAATTTCAAGAAAAGGATTCATTTATGTTCCCACATCAATAATTTATATTAGTTGTGTTTGGAACAGTGTTCGTTAATATTGCGTGCTAGTTATCCATATGCTTATAATTGAGAAGAATTGATTATCTATGGAGAATGGTTGCCGAAGCCCATCTATATGGTACATTTGCGAAGTTAATATGTAGAGAAACAGAAGCAGTTCATAGATAGTCTTAAAAAAAGATTGATTCAATAATGAAAATGATATATGATCATTTTTACATTGTAACAATAGCATCAGAGCTAACTTGTTTTTACTTGATTGTGGATTATCAAGCTTGAAATAACAATGCCAATCTACAAAGTCAGCTGCAATAGAGAAGACGGTTCACAAGAGCGGGGATCAAATTACCTTGTGGAGGTCTTCAGAGAACTCATGACAATGAATCATTTTTCTGTAATCTGCAGCCAGAAAACTAATCAATAATATTTCTCCAAAACCGAACCGACTAAAGTGTCTTCTCTTAACAGCATGCAACAAGTTCATCTTAACCATAGCATCCTCTCAAGGTCAAAACAAAATATCCAGTGATGATCCCCCAAGCTCTTCATCAGAATAGCCCCTGTTCTCATACTGTAGAGACCTCGCTGAATTACAACAACTCATAACACAAATCTACACCTTCTGTCAAGACACGCCGCGATAGATTCTCCACCTATTTGACCCTCTGAATTTTATTCCAGAGGTCTGAAAAAAGTAACACAGAAAAGT